TTGTGCAAAGAAATCGAACGAAAATGTGTGAAATGACGAGAAAACGTGTTTTTTATGCAAATGGCTTACATGATTTCGAGGATAAAAATGGGATTGGCCCAAACCGCCAGTTTATAGGCGGAATGCGATCCATTTTTGTGTTCCTGAAGAGATAGGAGACAGATACTTCATGCAATGTTCTAAAACATTTCAAGATATTCATTTTTGCTTGAGAAACTGGCCTCCCGTTTCTCACCAGGAACGCATATATGATTCCCATGTAATTAAGCGCATTTGGCTAATCCCATTTTTATAATCAACAACACATATATATGTACATGATGACCCTTCATCACGAATTGAACAAAAAAGTACACTTAAAGTAAATTCATATCATCACTGTGCACTCCAGCTGTCGTTTTTTCGTTCCATCTGAACAAACACAAAAGTGGTGTGTTGGGCTAAAGCCGTTTTCGAAAATGATTATTCGTTTATTGTGCGACGTTTCGCTCTTATTAGGAGCATCATCAGGCTGGAGAACAAAAATGTACACAAAAAACAATGTGTAAGTGTTAAAACAATTAGAAACAGCCGAAAAAAACCAAATTACGAACCAGTTACATCTGAATTTAAAATGTTTTCGAACGTGTTCCATTTTTTTCTATCAATGTCCACAAATTGTATCAGCTACACGTATCCATCAGAGGAATTTGTTATTGAGCTTCATTTAGTGTCTGAATATGATTACACTATGCAACAACAAGAAACAAACACAGAGAAGGGAACTTATTTTTTGGCTCCTCTTAATCCAAATCTGGCGTTACGTTGTCCTGGCACGTCTAGTTTTTAAGATACGTTCATTGCGGTTTCCGTATCAGATTTGGATTAAGTGGGCCAAAAAACCTTGGAAATGAGTCTACTCTTTTTGGGGGAATTTCGTTTTCGAAATTTGCTGCATAGTGCTAGTCGACCTCAATTCATATATTCCATAACTGGAAAATACCACAATTCATCAATTATTGATTGCATGGCACGTGGCAGATATTAGTAGATGAATGGTATAAAAGAGGCAGCACCGCACGGGGAAGACCAAACGAATTCAAAGGATCTTCTAAAGAAGTACAAGACGGTTTTCTACTATCATTGTGCAACAGGTTAAAACTCTGTTTGGTTGGCAAATTAAAATGAATCTACTACACGGTTTGTTTTCGGTGCTATTCATCGTAGAATTTTCGGTAAGTTCTTTCTTTTCCTTTATCATTTTCACTTTTATCCAATAAAATACTATATTTCTGTAGAAATGAAAATCAACACGAAATTTCTTTTTTTAGGAACTTCAAGGAAAACGTAAGACATTTTTGGTTTTCGAACTAGCTTTTTATGATTCCAAAAGATTTTTTCAGACTTTTATAATATTCAATTCGAAATGTCAACTTCTTTTCTAATGAACAGATGGCTTTTTCTCGCAAGCTCTTCTTAAGGGCGAAGTGATTGAAAACATGTCACAGGCAAAGTTTGTAGCTGGAATCCATGCCCCCGGAATCCATGCTGGAATCCATGCAAGTAAGTCTGATTTAGAATCATTTTCTTTTTTCTTCGTGTGAATTTTTGTCTGAAAAATTCAAATATTCTATCAATTTTGCTGGGGGCTGACCACGCTTCAGAAAATTGAAAATAATGCTAGATTTTATAATTTTTTTCAAACAATATATTATTTACAACTGTGACATTTTTGGAACTTTCTCCAGAAACGTTTCACTGTAAATGATAACTTTCAATTGTGCGTTGTCGGTTAACTGTCAGAAAATTCATCACATTGTGGTGGTCAAATGTATCGTTCATAGTGGATCATAGATTTAGTCAAATATTTGAGTCAACATACAGATGGTATTAAAACTGAATGATAGAAACGAATTTTGTAAAGGGTGCTTCAATAGCGACGCACAAAAGTATTGATAAATAAAACAAACAAATTTAATTTTTTTTTCCGAAATCTCTATTCTATATTGTAGTTTGGTCCTTGCTATTTATGTTTTGGACTGAGTATGGTGAAAAAAGTCTGTGTGGCGCATTTGATTAGTGGCCTCTTTAGAGGCCAAAGAACGAGGCGTAAATTCTTGCAGATTTTTATACCATTGTGCTTTCAAGCAGTAGTAGAGAAGGTATTGACTCAAATACACTGTACTTCAGTACTATTAATTGATAAATAATCATTGCGGCTCCATATTATTGCAAAAAGCACAAATGGTATAAAGCCTTCACACGTTCTTTCACTTTCATTTTTGTAAAAACGTATCAATTAATTTTATTGAAACCAATAAATCTTGGTTTACACATCTCAAAACTCAGCTACGGTACTAAACATATCTTTCACAGAACAGTAAAAACAATGGTCCAGTTTTGATATATTTGAGGATTGAGTGACCAACCTACGCATTTGGCGCCCAAAATATATGACATTTCTGAAGCTCGATTCTGATTAAATTGTTTTTTAACGATTTTTTAAAGTCATATCATTGTTGAATGGAGTTGTCTATACAATCAGTGCGCCTAGCTGTCATTTTAAAGTATAAAAATCAATAATTGTCACAGCAATTTTTGCAAAATTGGCCAAAGTTGGCCATGATGGCCAAAAACGGCCTATTGGCTACATCTCGAAAACGGTGCGGAATTCTGCTCTGGTTGTTGGGGCGAACTTTTGGCTCAAGTTGAGATAAAAACTGTTAAAAATAAATAAAACGTGAAAAATTGGATTTCGAGAGGTAAAACGCAAGATTCTCACATGACATTTTGATTTTTGGTAAATTCAAAAATGGACCTATTTTCGTGATTGGATTTCACAATTTGAACTCGTTGCTTTTTGAAATATCTCTTCATGGCACAAAATGGTAAAGTTTGACAAATAATTTTGACGTATTATTAGTTTGACAGATCGGGTAGCCTGTCATGATTTACGATAGGGTTACTTTTGTGCGTCGCTATTGAAACATCCTTTAGATGAAGAATTCGCGGTTTCCCCCTAGCAATTTTGTGTGTGTGTTCATTTTTTCTTCAAATATTATTGCTTTTACCGAGAATGAAACGATTTTATTACAAAATATTTGCGTGAATACAAAGACCATCCAAATGATGCCAATAGAAAAATTACGCGTAGGTGCATTTATTCTGTCGAAAACGGAAATTATCACGAATGCCCATTGTGTGGATGACGCCCCATATGTTTATGTGGTGGCTGGTACGAAAGTTGTATCAGATGCAAACCAGAAAATTAAAATCAAAGTCGAAAAAGAGAACATTGCATGGCACCCTCATTATAGTCATTCAATTTTTGGTGCATTTGATATTGCCAAAATTACACTGAAAACGCCGTTAGAATTCAGCGATACCGTTGGCAGTATTGAACTCGTTGATAAGGATTACAAATTGAATGACCCATCAGAAGTGGTCACTGTCTATGGGTATGGCGTGTTGAACAACACCGGACCATCGATATTGAGGCGTTGCGATGCGAACTATATGTCTGATGTCGAACGAGCCAACACATTTAAGCCAAGTCAGGTTTTGTACTTAACAACTGGTGAAGCTACGAATGATGGCAAAATTATTACACCTGGCGATTCGGGTGGACCAGTCGTTTCAAAAACAAATGGCAAAATCGTGGGCATAACTACGGGTTATGGCACAACAAGTGGCCGCGGATCGTTCCTTCCAATTAATCTATTTCTTGATTTTATTCATGACCCAAAGGTATCTAATCACAATGCCCCAATTTTTATTCTCAACACGCGGACAAAATCATTTTTTGCATTAATTTCAGAGTGTGAAACCAATTCCACCTCCGCTTACACCTAACGAAGCTAAATTTATAGCTGATATAAAGGTACCGGCAAGTAAGTGTGCATTCGAAATTCGAACTAAATCAAACCGTTTTTAACGTCACTTTTTTAAATTTTAAATAGAGGAGAGGCAAAAGTGGAGATTTTTCATGATTCATAAACATAAATATTCATTCGAAGATGTTTTTCTATTACAGAATTTCTTACTCTTTTCAAAAAAGATTTTGCCGATGCTAACGAAACTTCCCAACTAGAATTTAATGCAATCATTTTGTCAAAAACGGAGATTTTGACATGTGCGCATAGTGTGCTCGGCGCCCCATATGTCTACGTAACTGTTAATAAACTATCAAGAAATGCGACAGAACTTAAAGTCACTAAAGACCACATAGAAATTCATGAGGAATACTCATTGTCGGGGCTCGTATTTGACATTGCCAAGATTACACTTAAAGAACCGTTGGAGTTCAACGATAACGTCGGCAGCATCGATTTGGTGGACAAAGATTACAAAATGAATGACCCGTCCGAAATGGTCACTGTTTATGGTGATGTGATATTGGATGGAACAATGAGAACGAGGCGTTATGATACAAAGTATTTGGATGGCGCCAAATGCAAACCGACATTGGGCGCTGTATTTGATGCAAATCATTTGATGTGTTACACTTTAGATGAAAGCATGGGAATTCCGTCTACGTTTGGAGGTCCAATGATTTCGAAAAAGAATAACAAACTCGTGGGCATGACCATAAATTGTTTACCTGATCAGCCAGTTATTTTTCAACCGATTGCACCGTTGCTTGATTGGATCCGGAAGCCAAAGGTGAGACGTAATCAAAAAAGAAGTATATGGGCTTGAAAAAAGGGGTTTCAGGCGCCTGGAAAAGCTAAATACCGTCTCTTTTTTTGCCCCTGTCATTTGATGTTCAACAAAAGAACCAAATAAATTTGAAAATTTGAGAAAAATGCATTTTATTTTTTATTAGCCAATCTGAAATAATTGCGATATATATTACAACAAGGTTTTTAAACAAACTTCCCATGTAGACGGCCGCCACACAAGCAAAAATCGAAAAAAGGGTAAAAAAAATGTCAAATCTATGATTTCGACATTGCAATCATACAATTGACACCCATAGAACGAATGAACTTATGAGCTCTTTATCTATAAGTGAGACTTAAAAAACTTCGAGCAGAAAACAGACAAATAAACAGACGTTCGCATTTGCATTGCTTAGGAAGCAGCATGTTTTAAGGCACAGCATTAATGCTAGCATATCGATGGTTGCAACAGCGACGCATACACGGATCTCGCGCTCACAAAAGCCGCACACACATCTCTCGTGCTCAGTAGCCGTCGCATCAACAAACATACACACGCATACAACAAACGTTGCGTGATATTTTTTTTCCTTTACAGCTCAACGTAGTTTTCATATTAGTTCAGAAAAAAACAAAAACCATCAAAACGTGCATATGGAAAAGGCACACAAAAAAAAATTACAAATTTTCTTCTTACGTTCGATGAAATGGTCAACATATATGCATATTTAGCAATGCTTTTGGTTTTCTCAAAGTGTTGAAATTTAAAGAGTTTTTTTTAATGAAATTTCTACCGTTTGATGTGTGAGTGTAATCGTCACAATTCCAATGTTATGCACTTGAATACACTTGAATATTCTGTAGAATGAAAATGTGTGGAGGGAGCTAAAAAACAACACAAAAAACAGCACATAATTTTTTTCCCTGTATTTATTACGAAGCCAGTTCAATTGATTATTTGATGAACAAATCGTCTACATCGGTTCAGTATATAAAGTCTTTTTTGTATGTGTTTGTAACAGGATTTTAGTTTAAGTGAATAAATTTTGTATCAATGTGTTTGTTTTATCTCTGGAAAATCGCTATCGATCTCTACATGTTTTTTCTT